GGGGGGACAACCCGGGCGGAGGGGCCGCGTGTCCGGGCGGGGGACGGGGGCGGTTCAACACGACCTGCAATTCCCTGGGGGAATTTATTATGCATTTCCCAAGGGGGATTCATTATGCATTTCTCAGGGGGAATCTATTTCTTTGCAGAGAACTGCAAAACTCTGCGCACTCGTGGACCCCGAGCAGCGTTTGGGCCGCGGCCGCGGCCGGGCTGCGGTCCCTCGCCCCCTCCCAGCCGCCCCGCGCCCGCCGCATGCTGTAATGGAACATGCTCTGTTTATGGGTCCAAAACATCCCCTGCTCCTCGCAGGACAATGTTTCCCTTTTAAACCATGGTTTGGCCAAGGAGAGGCATTTTTCTGCCCTTATGCTGGATGCTGCCACTTGCCAGATCAAAGGGGCTGGGGCACGCGAGGGGATGAGGGACCGTTTGCCCGGACACATCCCGGTGCTTCAGCGGCCACAGCCCAGCGCCCGCTCCTGCTCCACTGGACTCGGACTGGAGCCATGGGGTCCAGTGCTGTGACAGAGCATGGGAGGGAGCACCCAGCCACCGGTGCCCAGAGAGCCTGGGCAGGGTCTGGACACGGGTGGGAGCTCTGCCACAGCCCTGCTGCATGTCCCCAGTGCTGCAGCTCCCCAATGCTGCATGTCCCCAGTGCTGCAGCTCCCCAATGCTGCAGGTCCCCAATGCTGCATGTCCCCAGTGCTGCATGTCCCCAGTGCTGCAGCTCCCCAATGCTGCAGGTCCCCAATGCTACATGTGCCCAATGCTGCATGTCCATGGTGCTGCAGGTCTCCGGAGCTGCAGGTCCCCAGTGCTGCAGGTCCCCAATGCTGCACGTCCCCGGTGCTGCAGGTCTCTGGAGCTGCGGGTCCCTGGTGCTGCGTGTCCCCAATGCTACATGTCCCCAATGCTGCATGTCCCCGGTGCTGCAGGTCCCTGGTGCTGCAGGTCCCCAGTGCTGCATGTCCCCAATGCTGCATGTCCCCGGTGCTGCAGGTCCCCAATGCTGCATGTCCATGGTGCTGCAGGTCCCGAGTGCTGCAGGTCCCGGTGCTGCCTCCTCCACTTGGAGCCACATTGTGCTCTCCTGCTGCGGGCACTGGGGTCTGTGTGGACCACAGCCCACTCTGCAGGGTGCAGGATTGTTCTACCCCAGCTGTTTGGCTTGGTCGGAGCAGCCGGAGCAGCTCCCGGCGCGGGGCGGATGGAAGCGGCRGCTGCTGCAGCCCTGCTGCTTTTCGGGATGTCAGGACAAAACGGGGCTGAAAACAGCAGCTCGGAGCTACCTATGGGGCAGGTTGGGGACCCCAGGGACCTGGGCAAAGTGGTGGCCATGGCTTCTTGTCCCCTCCAACCTCAGGGGACTGGGGGGGGAGCCCAGCCCCCCCCAGCCCCACAGCCCCCGTCTGGGGCCTCTGCCCCACTTGGCCCCTGCGCAGGGGCCCTGGMAGGGCCGGGGAAGCAAAGCCCAAACCACAGCTGGGAGCCGCAGCAGCCGCAGGGGCTGCGCACRGGGCGGCCGCGCAACCTGCTGCGATCCCAGCCCCTCCTTCTGGGGAGGGGGCCTCTCGCCCGCCCCCGGAGCTGCTTCCCCCAGGGCCCCAGGAAAGCCCTGGAGGGGCAGAAAAGCATCGGCCCCCCAAAGGGAAGGGGGCTGGGGGGCGCTACCTGCCCCCAGGGCGATGCAGCCCCAGGACAGGGGTTGCACGGGGGGCTGGGGTGATGCAGCCCCAGGACACGGGTTGCACGGGGGGCCGGGGGGGTGCAGCCCCGGGACAGGGGTTGCACGGGGGGCCGGGGCCGCTCTCGCTGCCTGTGGGGCCTGAGAACCCGCTCGGGGCCGGGGCTGGGCCGGGGGCCGCAGCCGCAGGGCGCCGGGCCCGGCCCCGCTCCCCACCCACATGCTGCAGCTCTGAGCTCATGCAAAGGAGCGTCGGCGGGGACCGAAATAACCCCCCGGCCGAGCCCTGCGCTCCTGCCCGGGCTGCTCCCCGGCCGGCGCAGCCTCTGCCCCGCCGCGCTGCCAGCAGCCCCATGCGGACCCCGCACGGGGAGCATGGGGGGGCTCTGTGCACGATTTGGGGKAAATAAACCCATTTCCAAGCCCTGTGGGAGCCGTGCAGTAGCACCCGCAGGTGGGACGAGCACAGCCGGTGCAGGAGCCCAGAACAGGACAGAGCAAAGGGCCCTGGGTGCATCGGGGGCCCTGGGTGCATCGCGGTCCCCGCGCCGGGGCAGCCCTGATGAGAATCGCAGGCGCGGGCGGCGCTGCGGCCCGGCCGGCCCAGCTGCTTCTCGTTACCTCCGGGCGCCGTCCAAAACGGAATAGCAAAGCGGGGCAGGGAGCAGAGCCGAGCGGGAGCAGCTCCCGTGCCGCCCCGCCAGCAAGGAGCCGTGGCCCCAGCCCAACGTCAATGAATCCCACAGCAGCCACGCGGGGAGCGCCGGCACGGCCCGTGGGCACCGAAACCCCGGCCAAGGGGGCTCCGGTTCCTGCTTTCCCAGCAGAAACGCAGCTTTTCCATGCCCCGGGAATGGGTGCCCGCGGTGCGCCGGGACTCTGTCCCCGTTTGCACGTTCCAGGGCTGGCCGGGAGCGGCGGCTCCTGCGCGCGGCGGCTGGAACGCGCCGGGGGAAGCGGCTTCGTTTTGCCTGGCGCTTTTTTTTTTTTTTTTGCATTTAATAATGGAAAATGTAATGACAGCGCCGAAATTAAAATAATAAAAGGCGGCATCCGGAACGCGAGCTTGAAACAGGAGCGAGCCCCACGTTTCAGGCTGCAAGGGAACAGGCGCCGGCGCCGGATGAAAGGGAGAAGCCGCCGGCGGCTCCGGCCCCGCGGCTCCGCTGGGGCTCCCGTGCCGGGGTCCGGAGCCCCCCGCGGGGCCGGGATGCAGCCCCGGCACCGGGAGAGCTCCTCTGGACCGGGAGTTCCTGGCGCCCCGGCGGTGCCAGCGCTCCGGGCCCGCGCCCGCTCCAGCTCCCGAATTCCAGGCCGTCTGGCCAAGAGATGCTGCTCCACTCCCCTCCATCCCTGCGGAGCAGCCAGGGAAAGAGCAAAACAAGGTTGTCCCTGCGCGCCCGTGGGGAGACCCCCCTCCCCTCCTCGTGCCCTGCCAAAGAGCAGGGATCCCAGGAGGGAGCAGGGCGGGTTGGGATAGTGCCCCCCCACGCCCCTCCATGCTGCAGGGAGCATTTGGAGCCAGGATTTGGGAGCAAAGAGATGCCCAGGGCCTCTCCTGGATGCCCTCTGCTGCTCACCGGTGCATGGAGAGATAAGGGGGGAAATAGGATAAAATAAATGAGAAATAAATGACCCCCCCACACCCCATTACAGCCTCTTGCTGCCATGTGCTGCCAACAGCAGCAGCTCCCCCGGGAAAGCCCAGGGGCTCCCTCGGGAAAGGCTGGGAGCCTCCGTGCTGAGAGCACTCCGGACACCGGGATGCGGGATGTGGGATGCGGGGTGGGATGTGGGATTCGGGATGTGGGATGCAGGGCGGGATGCGGGATGTGGGATTCGGGATGCAGGATGTGGGGCGGGATGTGGGATTCGGGATGCGGGATGCGGGATGCGGGGTGGGATGGTGCCCGCTTCCCCAGGACAGAGGCTTTGGGCTGCGCGGGGAGCGTCGCCCCTTGGTACCGCAGGGCTCAAAGGAGCGACGCTGAAATGAGCTGGTTCTGGAAAAAAACATCCTTTTGCCCCGCTCTGCTATTTTTGCAACTTTTGGCCTTCTCTCGTCCCCAGAATCCAGACCATAAATAACAATAACAACATATTTAAAGGCTTTATGATGACAGCTGCCAACATCTGCCAGTGCCTCTTGATTCTCCAGATGTTGAAAATCTGACTCAAAAGTGGAAGTTTGGTAAATATTTTGTGTGTTTCTCATCTCACGGACACGGGGATCCTGTTTTTTCTTCAATCACATGGAGCAGCAGAATAAAAATAACATCTGGCAGGGCTATTTTGGGAGCTGGAGGGAGGCAAGGTGAGTTGGTGGCCGCTGCCCCTGCTGCCCAACAGCCTCTGCAGCCGCCGAGGGGGCAGCCGGGGACAAGGGGTTGCTCCGGATCCCGGATCCGGGCTCTGCCAAGGGGTCCCCTCCGTGTCCCCGCCGTGCCGGGACCCTCAGCGCGGCCATCCCGGCTGCTCCAGGCGCTTGGAGCGGCTTCGAGGAGCGAAGGAGGGGGGGCTGTTGTTGACTTTGGTCGGGAGCGGTTCCCTGTGCTGAGGAACGTCAGCGGGGAAAGTATTGAAATAAAAAAGCCGCGGACTTTCGCACCGGCCTTGGAAAAAGAGCRCTTGGGATTTCGCCACAGCAGAAGCAAACAGGGCGCGTGGCGCAGGCGGCGCCAGCCCCGGAGGCTCCC